AAAGCCATTTTACAGTTCGTATGGACCGTACGATCCGCACGGATCGACAAACTTTTATGCCCTGACTTAGACACAACATCGCCATCGACAGAGCATGTTCACGATCCGTAAATCATTTTGACGAACCGTACGGTTCGTACGGTCCGTAAAGCCATTTTACAGTTCGTACGGACCGTACGGATTGTGTTCAATGTTTTACCGTCTTTACGATCCGTATACGTTCGACAGTATTGGACAACCATAACTCTATCATGCCGTATTCGGCATCTTACATCTGCTTTCGAGGAAAACTTGAAGAAAATTGAACTGAAACCGCGAAAAGATCATCAAGTCCTATTTTTAGAAGCGTAAGAGAATTAGAAATATCTTGTTATGAACTTTTCCTTACATATTTTTTAGAACAAAAATGTACTTATTATAACATTTAGCTTTTGACAATCATACCAATCTTTATACTTTTAAAGTATTGAACTTGTCTGCGTTCAACCGTATGTTTTTCTATGTTTTTTTTTTGTTGTTTTTTTACGTTGGTAAAACGTTGTGACTTTACGTGCGCCGGACGTGATTTTGTCGACTCCAGGGGACGTCGTCACAACGTAGTCAGACAACGTAAAAAGATCATTCTCACAACGTTTTTAGAACGTTCCGCTTATACGTGAAAAAAACGTTTTGACTTTACGTGCGCTGGACGTGATTTTGTCGACTCCACTCCAGTGGACGTTGTCACAACGTAGTAAAACAATGTAAGAAAAAACCTTTTCGCTACCTTGGGCTTGCATCTAGTCCTTAAGTTTGTTTTATTATATAGCAAGTATATTAGTAATGGCATAAGCAATGTTATTATTATTAATATTACTTAATGATCTGACATAAGCAATGTGGATTTACTTTTTTATGATACGCTGTGCTAATAAAGGAAAGCTTCGCTAAATTTCTTTACTTTTTAATTCATTGAGCGGTTTTCTAATTCCCAATTAGACACCAGAGTCCGTTTTATAGTTTCGTAATTCCCCGATTCCCGTTTATCCTGTCGAATTTCTGTTTCCTTTTTCTGTTCTTTTTTCCCCCGTATATATGATTAATATTATGTATTAATAATAATACATATTAATTCCCCAATTCCCCTGTCCCCCCCCGTTCCTCTTTCCCCCATTCCCCGTTCCTCCATTCCCCGTTCACCCATTCCCCGTTCTCCCATTCTTCACGTTTTTCGACAGAGAAGACGATCTTTTTGCCTGTATTCAATCTACAAACACTAAAAACAAGTTTGTTCCTCGTATTTTGCTCGTATTTTACTCGTATTCTGCTCGTATGTATACTCGTATTCTACTCGTATGTACTCGTATGTACTTGTGTTTTACTCACGCATGTTACTCATATGTACTCGTATGTTACTCGTATGTACTCGTATGTTACTCGTATGTTACTCGTATGTACTCGTATGTTACTCGTATGTACTCGTGTGTTACTCGTATGTACTTGTGTGTTACTCCTATGTACTCGTGTGGTGTTTTAGTCACGACCCCCCCTAACGTGGATGGTTTGAAAGTTTGTGAAAATGCCTACATTTTAGTGAGATTTATATTCAGGTTAGTAGAAAATTCGCCGAGAAAACGTTCGCAACAAACTGTTGTCGATCATGCCACGGAAATTCAAAAACTATAATTTTCAAAGTCTCGCGGCTCTCGCCTTGCTGCGCATGTAAGCATGCACACGCATTTGAAGCTTTCAAAATATATTATAGTTATAAACATTTTATAACAGACACAGTTGGAAAGCTTATTAAAATTGAAACGGCCTAGTATTTTGAAAATGATGTACGTGGTATCTGCCAGTCGTATATCAAAAATCGACCTTCAATTCAACAGTATTGGTAACAGTATTTGCTATAAAAACTAACCCACTGTGTTTCCTCCAGAATAATAGAACATCAGCCTTGCACAAAATTTCTTGAGGTTGTCAGTTACTTTTAATACTGCTTACTTGTTTGTTCGAGGATCTGACACGAAGGAGATTAGGAATCCCGCCAAAACTTGGCTTATAAATTAAATTATTACTCGCTTGGGCAATTTTGAGGAAAATTCGGGAAAATTGAACAATTTTACAAGGAATTTCGCACGGAAACAGCAACCTTCGCAAATCGCAAGTTTACACGTTTGGCTGCGGTGCTTTAATATATTTTGAGAAGAAAGCGACAGCGTTCGATTCAGCGTAAGAAATTGTACTCACGGATGTCAAATGTATTACTAAGCAGCAGTATTCTAGCGATTTATATGGCCTTTGAAAATCAAGCGAAATTGGTCAAATTGTATAATTGTTGACAAATCGCTCGCAGTACGTATTTTTAACAAATCACTCGCACTACCTTTGTCCTTGTATTTGTAATGCCTCATGGCGCAATAACGATAAAAATATCACCGCTTGATTCAGGGTAAGAAATAGAGAATAATACATGGGTGCGCGGAAATACCAGATTTATTTTTAGTGTTGAACATGATATCTCACGAGTGAGCGCAGCGAACGAGTGAGATATCATGTTCAACACGAGAAATAAATCTGGTATTTCCAAGCATCCATGTATTTTTCTGTTTAGGGGCCATTCACAAAGGATGTCCGAGCCGAGGGGGGGGAGGGGGGTTTGGAAAATCAGGACAAACTCGGACATAGGGGGGAGGGGGGTTTTTAGCAATCCGGATGTCCGAAATTTAAAAAAATTCAAAAACAAATTTCTTTTTTCCCTCTATTTTGAGCAGTCCTTCCCATTGTGAAATTGGCATTTTGACTATGCGGTTAACACTAGATTTTGTTTTAATTAGTAATTTATATGTTTTTGTGTTCACATTTACAGTTATAAAAAAGTTCTAAAAGTAAAAGTTTTTTACTCTTGATATATACAAGATTGCGTGAGTTTTTGCGAGGCATGGCGGATGTCCGGGGGGAGGGGTCACTAATTCGGACAATGCCGGACAAGGGGGGGGAGGGGGGGGGTCTGAAAATCCATCATTTGGCCGGACATCCTTTGTGAATGGCCCCTTATTATATTGAAGGACAGTCTTTGAAAGCGATAATATTTCCAGAAAAGCGATAATTGAAAAGCGATAATATTCACATGTGAGATTATCATGAATAATCTCACATGTGAGATTATCACTTTTATCAATGCTCGAAATCTCTATAAAGCACTATATTTTATATAATAAATTGTACTAAACAATAGTATTCTATAGCGATATATGGTCTTTGTCTTTGAAAGACAAGCGAAATTGTATTGTTAACAAATCGCTCATACGGATGTCAAATGTATTACTAAAACAACAGTATTCTAGCGATTTATGGCTTTGTCTTTGAAAGCCAAGCGAAATTGTATTGTTGATAACTAATACTTAATAATTAATGGTTTATTACATTCACTAAGTAGATTGATAAGCTAAAATATAGTGATGTTTACAGCGATAGAACTTTTACAATGATAAAATGTAATGTAAAAAGTATTAACACTATGGTCTCTACTAAACTAAAGCTACTTTAATGTAAAAGGTCTTAAAACTATTGTCATATTTACAGATAGAATTAGATTATGTTAATTATTACTCACTATAATATTAAACCCTCATGCTTACTTATCAATATAACTGAAAATTATATTTGCCAATTGCATATACAATTGGACTATGTTCAAAACGTTCTGTTTTACATGCAACCTTGGTATCATTGGTTTTCTCTTTTTCGGCCGTATACCAGTGGATTGCGGTGCCCAAAGTTTGGCACCGCATTATATTCTGCCTGTGAGTTTGTCCGTTTGTTTGTTAGTTTGTTAGTTTGTTCGCATCAATACGTTTCCTTAATCGCCTAGTAAAAATTCCTTGCACGTGCTCGAAATTTATTCATTTTTGCAGGAAAATTAATTTATCTTGTACTCTCAGGATCGACTGTTTGCTAGGCTTTATCTCTAGTTTTATGGGCCAAACAAGGCCAACAATACCACTCTTCGAATCAGCGTGAAAAGTTGTATTTATGGATGGAAAATTGATTTCAATATTGATTTCTATTCCAGCGATTTATGGCCTTTTAATTAAAGACAAGCCGCTCTGAAATACTCCTTCACGTTTTCCGAATTCCTTTTTTCGAGGAAAGTTTTCTTTTCTATTTTAAGGAGGCTCCCTACAGTTCCGTGCGGGATGTTCGCGGGACAAGTACGTGAACTATCCCACGCAACTGCATGATCAAAACAAAACAAAAATTAACCATGCTTTCCTCAAAAATAAAGCTATTTCTGAAAGGTCTCTAATGGAAAAAAGCGTTGAATAATACTTCGTTTTGAGTGCCAAATCACTTGCGAGTCTATACAGCGATTCTACGTATGATTCGAATATCACTAGACCAAAAAATAGATACGAAACAATATTTTTTATACACTGTTAACTGACTCAACTGTATTAAAAACATTTGCAAAATTGCATACAAACGTTTAAAAAGTTGTTTACTTCTCAAGAAAACGTTCACGTTTTTAGTCGTGTTTCTACAAGATTAAAGTGATTATATGTAAACAGAAAAATATTTCAGTTTCATAGCCTAATTGTTCATTTTTAGCAAAAAGTACAAAACCAAACATGAAACAAAAAACACGTCCACCTGTTAATAGGTTGTTACAGCTCATAGATTGAGTAAACGGCAGGATTCAATTAGCTTCAACCTTGTTTTCATCGATTTAATCCTTCACAATAATCCTTGGCTGTCCATAGCACTCAAATAAATCGAAAAGTTGACAAAAACAAAACAGTAAAAACAACATTGCGGCTGGATTTTGCTGAATGAAAACTCGTTCTGCGCCCGCGTACAATCTTTTACTAGTCAGCGACGCTTTTCAATAGGGGAATTTCTCGAGTTACACGAGGCTATTTTCTAACTTTATTTGTATTTTACTCATTAGTTTCATCGGTAACCTATCTTCAAATTTTGACCACGAATTTCTTTGGCGGTAAATTTTATAAATTTCAAATTTTAAAAAAATCTGTAGTGTGGAAATTTCGCAATAAATTTTTCGCTTTTAAAAAAATGACACACTACAGAATTTTTTTAAACTTTCACCACAGTTTCAGAGCATCATTCCTTATTGATATATGAAATAAAAAAGATAGGTCACCGACATCGTTTTTGAGATAGCGGCACATTTATGGGTTAAATTGGAAGGCTTTATGCTGTCGTCATGTTGCCATGGGAACATTAATGTTGTCGAAATCTAGTTTAAAATGTTCCTTAGGTGACCAATATTGCCACCAAGTCGAAAAGAATTCGCGTTCTGCACGAATAAGCCTGTTTTACGGAATTATTGCTTAAACAAGAATAACTGTAGGGAGCCACCTTAAGCTCGGACTCTCACGATAGACTTTTTGCTGCGCCTTATCTCTGGTTTTATGCGCCCAATAAGGACAAAAATACCACCGTTCGATTCAACGTAAGAAATTGTACTTAAGGATGTCAAATATATTACTAAACAACAGAATTCTAGCGATTTATGGCCTTTGAAAGTCAAGCGAGATTGCATTGTCGACAAATCGCTCAAAATTATTAAACTAATTAAAAATGCAGTACGTTCGATTCCTGATAACTTTCGTATCGTTGGTTTCTCGTTTTTGGCCGTATACCAGTGAATTCGTCTCATTTTTCTCTTCATTTTGAAAGTATTTTGAGCCCTAACTATTTTATTTTGAAGGTTTTAAAGTGCAATTTTAATAAGCGAAATTGTATTGTTGACAAGTCGCTCAAAATTATTAAACTAACTAAAAATGCAGTACGTTTGACCCTTGATAACTTTGGTATCGTTAGTTTTCTATTTTCTGCCGTACGCCAGTATATTCATCTCACTTTTGTCTTCATTTTGATAGTATTTTGAGCGCAAAATATTTTATTTTGAAGGTTTTAAAGCGCAGTTTTGATCCTATTAAATGTATGGACCAACTGGCGGCCGGCAGGAAAATGTAGCGTACTAAATATAACTTTACTTGTAGGCGGAAACGCCGGAAGTTTGATTTGTAGGCGGGCACCGCATTTTACTACTGTGTCTGGTTCGTCTTACTTCTCTCTTCATTTTGATAGTATTTTGAGCCCAAAAGCCCCCCAAACATTTTATTTTGAACGTTTTAAAGCGCAGTTTATAAATCCTAGCGTACGGACCGACTGGCAGCTGACAGTCTTCAAGAATGTAGCGTACTAAATATAACTTTACCTACCGCATTTTAGTACTGTGTTAATTAAGCATTTTGCGCTCGTATTCGACTTTTCCGCTTAGTAATGTGCGAATTTGTATGACTTGTATACCCAGCGACTTAACGCTCCGCAGAGCGTCTTGTTAATTATTAATTACAGTAATAATTCCTTATTTTAAGGATTGCGGCTTTTCTCATTCCGGGTTTTAAAGATTCCGGCTTTTCTCGTTCCGGGTTTTAAAGATATCGGCTTTTCTCATTCCGGGTTTTAAAGATTCCGGCTTTTCTCGTTCCGTTCCGTTCCTCGATTCCGTTCCGTTCCTTGATTCCCCATTCCTGGTTTTAAAGATAGCCGATCAAAAACAGGTGAGTTCGCGAGGGAAAGTCCCTCGGGAAAGCCCCTTTGGATTTTGGAAAATCCCTCTGGAAAATCCCTTTGGTGTCCTTGTTTCCACAACGACAGTAAAGCCTGTTACTGCATGCTACTAGTTTGCTTAAACCGGGTGATACAGTAAAGATCATCCATATCGTCACATAAATTTGGTTCAAATAAGAAAATAACTAGCAGATTAATACAGCAAGTGAGTAACATTTTCATTTAATTGCTCTATAATGTTAATACATTACTTAAAGGTACGTACGTTCATTCACAGGCGGCCCAATCTCTGAACGTCCTATATATTTTGAATATTTAATCGTTATAATATTTCAAAATAACAAAATAATTCAAAAAATATTAGCAGTATATGTAAAAATATATGCATGATGGGATATATGGGATGCATTTGGGATGCATTTGTTGTGTTTACGAGTTTAGTTGATGCGATTGCTTTACGTTTTCGTCGTACTTGTACGGTCGTCAGTACTGGCACTGAACGACATGCCTATAGGATATGAATAACTACAAGGCTAGTCACTTATCTAATACACTCTCCAACATCGAGTCCAATATATTTCCTCAAAATCGTTGCATGCAGAGCAATAAATTTCACATCGCCTAATAGTATGAACGTGCCTCTTTCGAAAGAACATGGTTTGTTCACCATTAATTTTTGGGCAATTCTCGTGACACACGACGAACTTTGTTTGTTCAAAATTCAATTTTCGAAAGAAGCTATGGTTCACGCCACGATCGTTGCCACGAGAGCGGTTAAGCAACCTGGCCTCCTCGTTGGAAAACACTCCATTAAGGGGGGGGGGAGGAGCTGGAATGGAATAAGGAGGCTTTCAAAGCAACACGATAAAATGTAGCCGTGTGAGAAAACAATTAAGAAACAGCTTTAAAGACTGGAACTTTATATTCAGCGAGATAGTCTAGCGCTTAGTCAGCGGTTGTGTTGTAGAAACGGGCTCAGCAATACAGTCTAGCCCTTTTGTAAAACGAAAAAATAACGAACACATGTTTTGTAAAAGTTTTATTAAAATACTCCTTTAAAAGTGAATAAAATGTAAAATAAAAAGAACTCGGAGTAACATTTGGAGGTCCCACCGAGACAATGGAAGGTAATATGTAGAAAAATCGATGTGTGGGCGAGAAAATACACGAGATTTGCGAGATTTATGATACTTTATATACGTGAGTTATTGACAAATTGTGGATATTGTATATATATGTATATAAAAGTTTAAGACAAATTCTACAACGGGAAGTTGGACGATCTACTGTTGGAAAATGTCAGAAGATTTGATTATAGAGCTTCAGTCTCGTATGATGGGCTTAAAACGAATGGAATTAGCCCGATTTGGAGAAGAAATGGATAAAGGTAGAAGAAATCGGAGAAAAGGGTAGGTTGGAACTGATTAAAATTATACGTACAGTATTTGAAGAAGAAGTACTTAAGTGTAATAGCGAGCAGCTTGACAGTCTATTGGGGAAAATACAAACTATTTTAGACAGCAAAACAATGAGTCAAAATGAGGAAAGTGTGAAAGCAAAAGAAAAGAGTGAACAGGAACTGAAACAGCTCAAAACACAGTATGAAAAGTTACTAGTAGAGCAGGAAAAACTAAAAGATCAAATAAATACTGTCCAAACGCAAAATGAAACAACTGAGGACATAACTATAACTAGTGAATCAGTAACACAACAAGATAAGCCACAATTAAAGTGCATTTCTTAACATGAAAACAAGCATGCTCCGTCGGGAATTCAAGATACAAGGACAAATCGGAGAGCCAGGACATAAAGATAAACTAGCATATCAGTCACTCATTTCACAGATTGAAATTGGGCTGCAAAAGGGTTACACAGAAGAGGAAATTACCCATGCTGTTGTTAGAGCTGTTCAGGCTGGGTTACAACTACGAAGTTATTTGGAGGGAATAAATGGGTTGACATTACCACGATTACGTAAAATACTACGCTTTCATTTCCAAGAGAAAAGTGTTACCGAGCTCTACCAGCTCTTGGCTAATATCAGTCAAGACCTAAAAGAAACAACCTCGTACCCAGGGCCTTTGCGCGGTTCAGAGGCTCTGGTACGGGAAGCAAAGGCCCTGAACAGGTGGGCAATTTGTCTGAGCATGCGCGAAGAAAATCAATATGGCGACATATAGGAGTGTTTCGTGAATTTATCTGGTTTTAAAGCTGATAAAACAACATTTTAATGAACGAAAACTTTGTAATATTTAGTGGAAAACATTAAGCTATTGCAATTCCAAAGGTTTTAAATTGAAAATAAGTACTTTTGCTTTATTTTATTGCTTTTTATGCTTTGAATAAAACAGGCAAGCTCATTTTTTGGCAAAAATCTAATCTAATATTTTACCCATCATTTGTTTAATCTGCACAGAAATAGATAGAACACTTGGCTATATAAGTTACAAAGGTTTTGTTAGCTTATCTGAAAGATTTCATTCCTGGTACACATTTTAACAAAGAATGAAGTGTAATTTCAAAAATTTAATATGCATATCACAAGCAATAGTTTTTATTAGAACAACACATAATAACTTGTTATTTTCTATTTTTGCAAAAACAAGTTTGCAAACAGGATTTAGTCCTCCAGCTTGATGTCATATTCTATTTATTTGGATATTTCAATAAAGGAATGTGAAATAATAATTTAATCTTGTGCAAAATTTGATACCAACACACATGTGAACAGATAGTAGATACTATCACCTAAAAATATAAGAAAACAGAACTTAAATTTATCATCTAATGCTATGAAAAAAATCTTAGATACTGCAGGCACACAGTGAGCACAATTATTTAACAAACTCACTAAAATAAGTTAAGTTATACTATGATAAGAGGATGGCAATAGATAACAACATCAAATGTTGTCATCTTCAGTGTCCAAAAAAAGTGCCGCGCGCATTTTTGGTGGTCGCATACCTGGTATTGCCACAAACTCAGGTGAAAAAGCAATTAGAAAAACCTGGTTTTGGGTGATGAGCATAGTCAAATTCTTGACTTCTTCAATTTTCTATGTTTTCCCAGGTAAACAGATTAAACATTGAAATAAGCCACATTCGGGACCTCATAGAATCCAAACTATTGTGTATGGACCAGGCTTTTTTCAAATTTCTGTGATTTACATAACACTAGTTATAATTTAAAGCTGGGTTACAGTCCATTCTGCGCATGTGCGGGCTTTGTTTACATCTTTTGTTTTGGTTTGGATCCACTTCAATTGTATAATATGAAGTATACGGCTATGCACTAAACAAAATATAAATGAAGGAACCAGGAGTGAAGTTAATTTTTTTTTTTAAATTGTCTTCTGAAAGTCAAGCAATTAAATATTTTAACAGACCACCAATGGAAGATATATTGCTGATTAATTCGACATTTTTCTTTCGTGTGTTTCGTTTATAATGAAATATCCGGCGGGTGCGAGTTAGCAACCCATTGTACGTATTCTGAATATAATGTTCGGCATTGTAAAATAAACTTTGGAAGTGCCAAAGTAAACATGAACCTTTCCTTGGGTTATTTGTTCGTCGAAACACATTGTCAGAGTCATTGTTGCTGTCATGGCAGATCGAAGCACTCGGACAAATTAAGCTTTTCGCTGGAAGATATGTGGAGACGATATGTTCGTGTCGCAGCTTCTGTTTACGATAGAGAGCCTGCAAAAGGATGGGTAGTTTTTGCTCAAGTGTGTGCCACGAATAGGATTTTGATACATGTATGAACAATCGAAGGGTTCAAGAACGTGACAGTGACCAGATGGTGAGTTTCTACTATTGCTATTATGTACTGACACTGTTCGTTATACTGTTCGTTATAAACGTGATTCACACATGTACATGTAATCTTATTATTTTCGCTCATTGTAGTTTATACATGTTTCGTTTACGCAAAAAATGGCCTGAGCAATGTTCATTTGAGAATATGTAATGTTCATTGTGACTGTTCACTGTAAACGAAGGATAATGATCATCTAACAATACTGTACATGAACAAACTTTGTTTACATAGTTTAATACTTTGCCTGCCAAGAATATGCACAGACATACAGTGTAAATTTGAGTGACAGTACATTTTTGAAAGCTTTAACACATATGATTTGTTTTATTACACACTCTGTATAATTATGCATATCCTTGCCGAATAAAATATCAAATTATATAAAAAGAGTTTATAGAGGAATTTCTGGTAAAAATATCAGTGTTTCACTGTGCTTGAGTCTTTGCATTTAATTAATGATAAATATATTTACATTTCAGAATCTTGTGGAAGCAATGGATTTAATTTTAAATGCCCTAAGAGCGTCAGCCTAAATGTCCTATACAGCGTCAGCCAGGTGCATTTGCTGATTTGGTAAATAATGAATTGCCAGGTGCACCGCTTCAACCAGACCCAGAGGAAAACCCAGAAAATGTCCCAGAGTGTTGCGAATGTGGATGCTGTGTTGCAAGGCCAACACAATTGGAAAAAAATGCTGTACACAAACAATACAGCCTTGCAAGACCCTAGCCCCTCTGTTCCCCACAGTTAGTACTTGATGGAAACGTTCTGGACCTGGCCATGCATTACAGGGCCGGGAAGACTGTTTTGTGTTAAATAATGTTAGAAACAATGAAAATTTTCACCATGCTGCTTACAAACAATATGTACTCTGGCAACATGAAAGGATAAGGAAGTGGGAACAGGAGAATGATTCCAAGCTGTTGTGTAACAGCAATACGGAAACAATATCCTTCTCCAAATGGGATATACTCTGGGTATCAACCTGCTAGATTGTAAATATTTGTTGCACATGTTGTTATTATGTTATTGATCATCGAGGAAAACTTTATTTTTTCATTAAACCATTTTACTGCAATTATCTCCCCATGACAGGCAGGATCATTTTAAATATTTTGAAAGAACTTGGGTAATTTACACCTGCATGCATGTTAAATTAAGGCCCATTCACACAAGCGATTTTACATACAGTATGTGATGTAACAAAATTACAGGAAATATTACTTTGCATGGCTTAGCTCATATATTTGTTGTGATATTCACTCAAACACATGCACAAAAGAAGAAAATTGCAGTTCAAAATTGCTTGTGTGAGTTAGCCTTTATAGTCCCATTGCTTTAATTAAACTTATTTTAAGCTTTCTTTGTCTACTAAACACAGCAAATTCTGCTAACAAATGAAAGCCTTTATCATGTTAATTGGTTAAATCTTTACGAACAGTAATATTTCATTTTATAAAAGACAAGTTATCAAATACATTGGATGTTCCAGCACAACATTTGGTACAGACGTTGGTATTTTTATTCTTTAAAATTACTCCTTGCTCCTTACTTCAGTCTGACCCACTAGTTGGGTCCATGCAGGAGTTTGTATAATCAGAATTTTCCTTTTCCAAAGTTGACTTTCTTTCTAATCTTTCAGGGTGTAATGTTGTAGTTAAACACTTTTATTGATAACCTCTCGTATATATGCACATGCAAAACTAACTAATAAAACTATATCTATTGGCGCCAAAAAGTCTTAGTCTCAGACCCCGCACGCGGCAGGTCAGCAGCTCTTCAATGGTGTTTTGGAAGATCTCAGAGGCGGAATTGATGCCGAGCAGAAGTCGTTTGTACCTTCGAAGGCCGAGGTGTGTGCTGAACGTGGTGATGTGCCGGCTTTCTTCTGCAAGTTCAAGTTGATGGTAGCCAGAGGATAGATCCAAAGTTGTAAACACGGCTGCACCATTTAAATCAGCTAC